GACTTTCTTGTAGACAGCATATTGATGGATCTTGGGTTTTTTGTTTTGTTTTGTTTTTTAATCCATTCTGATACCCTGTGTCTTTTGAATGGGGCATTTAACCCATTTACATTCAGGGTAACTATTGAAAGATATGAATTTAGTGCCATTATATTGCCTGTAAAGTGACTGTTACTGTAGATTGTCTCTGTTCCTTTCTGGTCTACTACTTGTAGGCTCTCTCTTTGCTTTGAGGACCCCGTTCAATATTTCCTGTAGGGCTGTTTTGGTGTTTGCAAATTCTTTTAATTTTTGTTAATCCTGGAAGCTTTTTATCTCTTCTCCTATTTTTAATGACAGGCTAGCTGGATATAGTATTCTTGGCTGCATATTTGTCTCATTTAGTCTTCTGAATATATCATGCCAGTTTTTTTCTGGCCTGCCAGGTCTCTGTGGTTAAGTCTGCTGCCAATCTAATATTTCTACCATTTTATGTTAGAGACTTCTTGTCCTGAGCTGCTTTCAGGATTTTTCTCTTTGTCACTAAGACTGTAAGTTTTACTATAAGATGATGGGGTATGGACCTATTTTTATTGATTTTGAGGACAATTCTGTATGCCTCCTGGATTTTGATGCTTGTTTCCTTGGCCATATTATGGAAATTCTCTACTATAATTTGCTCCAATATACATTCTGCCCCCCTCTTTCTTTCTTCTTCTTCTGGAATCCCAATTATTCTAATATTGTTTCATCTTATGATATCTCTTATCTCTCGAATTCTCCCCTTGTGGTCTAGTAGTTGTTTGTCTTTCTTTTGCTCAGCTTCTTTATTCTCCATCATTTGTTCTTCTATATCACTAATTCTCTCTTCTGCCTCATTTGTCCTAGCAGTAAGAGCCTCATTTTTTATTGCACCTCATTAATAGCTTTTTTTAAATTTCAGCTTGGTTGGATATTAGTTATTTTGTTTCTCCAGAAAGGGCTTTTATTTCTCCAGACAGTATTTCTCTAATATCTTCATGTCTTTTTTGAGCCCAGCTACCCGCTTGAGAATCGTCATTCTGGACTCTCATTCTGACATATTACAAATGTCCATATTGATTAGGTCCCTAGCCATTGGTTCTGACTCTTGTTCTGTTTTTTTTTGGGTTGCATTTTTCTGCCTTATTATTTTATTCAGAGAAGAATATATGAAAAAGGGAATAAAATACTGAAAGGGTGTGAAAGACCCCAGAAAAATATATGGTAACCAAATCAGAAGATACACGAAACCAGGAGGAGAAGAAAGGGGGAAAAAGAAAAATAAAAAATAAAAAATTATATATGTGTGTGTGTATACACACACACACACACACACACACACGCATATGTATTAGGCTGGTGAGTAGAATATAGTCACCCATTTGATTTTGGGTGTATTCTGGTCTCTTAGAAGAAACTACCTTCCAAAATTTTAAAGGAAGAAAAAAAAAAATATATATATATATATAAAGAGGCTAAATACAATGAAGTGATAGAATATGATTGTAAAGATGATAATTAAACAAAGATTCTAAAAAAGGAATCAATAAGATAAGTTGGTTGGAAAAAGAAGAAAAAAAAGAGGAGAGAATGTGATCAAGCTAAAGACTAGAAAAAGCCATGGACTAGATTTAGGGTACATTTTGATCTATTAGGGGAAATTGTATCCCAAAATTTTAAAGAAAAAAAACCTATATGTATATAAAAAATAAGGTTAAATACAATGATGGGATAAAATAGAACTATACCAATGAATATTTTTAAAAGATCTTATTTTTTTAAAAGGTATTATTAAAATAGTTTTAAAAATTAAAAGAGGAAAGAAGAAAAGTTTTAAAAAATAGAATAAGAAAAAAATAAAATAATTTAACTTTGCAAGACTGAAGGATCATGGGAAAAAAGGCCATGAATTCTATTCATTGCTTTCCCCTAGCTCTAGAGTTCCACAGTTCTTGTCTATCAATAAACTTGGTCTTGGCAGCATGTTCTTGCTGATCTTCTGGGGGAGGGGTCTGTTGCAGTGATTCCCAAGTGTCTTTTCCTGTGGCGGAATTGCACCACCCTTGCCAGGGGCCAAGCTAAGTTATCTGCTCGGGTTTCCTCTCAGAGCTTTTCTCCCCTGAACATTTTCATTAAAGCTCTGGAGGAAAGGAATGAAGATGGCGGCCTCCTAATCTCTGGCCCAGAGGAGCCGAGAACTGGGGGACCGACTCCTCTCTGCGCCCTCAGAGAAAAGCAGTCAATTCCTCCCATCTCCCTGGTCTCTGGCTGTGCTCCATGCTCACCTGGCCTGTGACCAAGCATTTCTGTCTCTGGTGCACAGTTACATTTGGATTCTCCAAATCCAGCAGATTCCTTTCACATGCTCCTACGCTGGTCCTCCCGGATGAGGAAGAAGGGGATCTCTCTGGATTTACCACTTGTGGGATCCCTGCTTGAAGAGCAATGGTCCGACTGTGCCTTGGATCATGGTTTAAGTTAACACTGAGTGAGATCTCAAGCAGGGAAGCAGGTATCAGGATTCCTTGCTCTGATACCTGGTAACTCTGCCACAATCAGACACCCTCGGTCTTTCTGTGATCCCACGGGTCCTGAGACAAGACTGCCCCCACTAGGGCCCCACCCTTGCTTAGCCTCTGGAACAACATCCCTCAGTGGAGCAGACTTGTGAAAGTTCTGATTTTGTGCTCCGTTGCTCCACTGCTTGCTGCGAGCCGGCCCCTCCCCCTGCGGAGTATCTTCCCGTTGCTTCGGTTTCACTTCTCCACCTGTCCTACCTTTCAGACCCCCAAAAGTGGTCGATTTTCTGTTCCTAGGATTGCTGCTTTTCTTCTCTTCTATCTCCTGGTGAGTTTGTAGGTGTTCAGATTGGACTGATTACTATCTAGCTGATCTCCTGGAACCTAATGATATTTCATTGGCTACTCCTCCACCATCTTCTATAATCTCCAATATACCAGTTTTTAAAACAAATATTAAGGAAGGCTCTTGGGATGAGCACTGGATGTTGTATGTAAGTGATAAATCACTAAATCCTACACCTAAAACTAATGTTATACTGTACGTTAACTAACTGGAATTTAAATAAAAATTTGGCAGAATAAATTATTGAATATAAATTGCATTTGTCCATTCTTGTTAACTTAAAGTTCACAAATCTTATATCATTTTAGGCACACTTAGTTTAAAAAAGTTTAACTCACACAAATATTCAACTGATAATTTAACCTCTTTTTGTGTCTCTAATTTCTTTATTTTCTCTTTTTGTGTATTAATTTCCTTTCCTTTTTTTTTTTAAAGATTTTATTTATTTATTTGACAGACAGAGATCACAAGTACGCAGAGAGGCAGGCAGAGAGAGAGGAAGGGAAGCAGTCTCCCTGCTGAGCAGAGAGTCCGATGTGGGGCTCGATCCCAGGACACTGGGATCATGACCTGAGCTGAAGGCAGAGGCTTTAACCCACTGAGCCACCCAGGAGCCCCTTAATTTCCTTTTCTGAAAAATTGTTAAGAGTAGTACTTGGTACTGATTGGTTTGATTATATATCATTTTTCATGCATTTTGAAGGAAACATTTAAAAATAAAAACATTGTAGTTTATCATTGTGAATAGTTAATGGAATTAAATTGGCACTAATTTCTGAATATTATGGAGAGGATATTATTTATAAAATATTTCCACTGAACATTTCATCAAAATAGCTCTGCATCTATTTACCAATATCTATTCTGTAAACAGTGCTAAATGACGCCTCTGTTACCTAGATATCTAATTTAATCATTGATCATTTCATGTTTCCAAAAAAAAAAAAAAAAAGATGAAAGAAGGAGGCATTTATAACAGATGAAGTTTAAGGTAAATGACCAGAATTCTATTGCTCCCCAATGTGAATTAACATTTTTACTGAGGTCTTTAAACTCCAAGCTCAGTTCTTTCTATTCTATCCCATGTTATAAAATCCCTCTTTGATTTAGTTTTTTATACTTAAAAATGTGACTAGTAATCAGGCATCAATCAGTGTTAGAACCAAAGAGTCATAGAACAGTTCATACCATAATGAGATTTCTGAGCAAAAAGTAAGTAAACATGTGTGTTATAAAGTTCTTATAGAAAAAGGCCTTATTTCCATAGCCCCACAAAAGTAGCTTGAGTTTTCACTAGTATTTAAAGTTTGTTCAGATCACTTCAGGAGGCTACAGGTGTGCTGGTTAAGAGCACCAGCTCTAACTTTTGTTCAAATCCAGGCTGGGTGACCTTGAACAAGTTCTGCAGTTTTTCTTTCCTTCGTTTTTTATTTATAAAATGAGGATAAAATATCAATACCTACCTTGTAAGGTTGTTATATGGATTTGTATAATATATATTATATGATGCATATATAATATAAATATATCTAGATATAAATGTATATTTTATATAAATATATAACATATATATACAACAGCATATATGTATTATATCTGACCCATATAAGCCTAAATTTCAATTTTTTTGTAAAAATCAAAGTTAACAATATTAACTAAGAGCTAAGTCCTGATTCATAAGCACATTCAATCAGGTAAGAAGAAGGTAGTCTCCATATAAGGTCAAATAATTTCTCAACATTTATTATACAACATATTTTATATGGCTATGCAGAATCAACTTATTGCTCTGAGGTACAGCAGTAATTGGAAAAAAATATAAAGAATTGCTTAAGGGAAGGATAATATTTTGTCTTTAGATATCTATGACTAGCCAAGTTCATCTAGGTAAGAGTAATTTTAGGAAGGAAAAAGCAAAAGTTGTTTTCCAAAATCAATGGTTCTCAGATCCTGAATTTTTGATGTACAATATGAAAACAGCCATATTACCAAAGTGACTGATGCCATGGAGCAGGTCTGCGTTCAGCTCACAGGAGAGATCCTTAACTGTGTCTGTGGTTAGAACTACTCAGGGGTAGGATATACATGATCAAATATCATTAACCTGTTCTTTATTATTTTTTCTTCATGTCCAGATTCCTCCAAAGGACCTCAGCCATCTTCAGGTGTAAATGGTAACACGCAGCCCCCTGGCACAGCGGGGCAGCCCCCCGCATCTGCCATCCCTTCTCCGAGCTCCAGCAAGCCCTGGCGCAGCAAGTCCATGAATGTCAAGCACAGTGCCACCTCTACCATGCTGACCGTGAAGCAGTCCAGCCCAGCCACCTCCCCCACACCATCAGCAGACAGACTGAAGCCCCCTGTATCAGAAGGGGTCAAAACAGCCTCCTCGGGCCAGAAATCCATGCTTGAAAAATTCAAGCTGGTCAATGCCCGGACTGCTTTACGTCCCCCACAGCCTCCCAGTTCAGGGCCCAGTGATGCGGGGAAGGATGACGATGCCTTTTCTGAATCTGGTGAGACGGAAGGTTTTAACAGTGGTCTGAATAGTGGTGGCTCAACCAATAGCAGCCCCAAAGTGTCCCCTAAATTAGCCCCTCCAAAAGCTGGAAGCAAACATCTCAGCAATAAAAAGTCTTTGCTACAGCCAAAGGAAAAAGAGGAAAAGAACAGGGACAAAAATAAAGTTTGCACTGAAAAACCGGTCAAGGATGAGAAGGATCAGGTGACAGAGACAGCTCCAAAAAAGACCTCTAAAATTGCAAGCTTGATCCCAAAGGGTAGCAAGACGGCAGCAGCCAAGAAAGAAAGCTTAATCCCTTCTTCCAGTGGCATTCCAAAACCGGGCTCGAAGGTGCCCACAGCAAAGCAGACCGTTTCACCTGGCAGTGCAGTGAGCAAAGAGTCGGAAAAATTCAGGACTACCAAGGGAAGCACTTCCCAGTCCTTACCCAAGCCCATGACCACTGAGAAACCAAGCACATCCAATTGCCCTGCTCCTTTGGAAGGAAGGGAAGCCAGCCAAGCCCCTCCCACTGGTTCCTGCGCTGCACTGGTGGCACAAGGCGGTGGGCAGACCACGGGGAACGGTGCTGTCCAACTCCCTCAGCAGCAGCAACACAGCCATCCCAACACTGCCACGGTGGCTCCGTTCATTTACAGGTAAGATGGCCGCTGTGTGTCCACAGTTGTGAACTCCTACAGCTCTTCCTACTCCACACATCATAATGAAGGTTACTAGAGCTGTGTTTTACTTTATCATTTTTGGAACACTTTGGTCTGAAGATAAAGGGCTAGGATTTCATGTTTTAAGAAAAAAAAAAATCTAGTATGCTCTAGTCCTATTCTCCCTCCTCTTCCCATCTTCTGTCCTCTCTTCCCTTCTTTGTAGGCCTTCTTCTTGAGGCCTTCAGAAGTTAGCTTATTTGTGCTCAGAGAAGAAGGAAAATCCAGATGCCATGATTCTCTCCTGTGTCTATTACCATTATGACTTCTACTGCTACTTTTATTATTAGTATTTTAAAGTAATTCTCAGTTTTATAGAGTTCACAGATATTTTTTTCACCCTTGAGAGAAAATATGTCATGATGGTTAAAGGGGCAGGCTCTGGAATCAGACACCTGTAGGTTAAATGCCCTGCCCTGGTACTTACCAGCTGTGTGACTTTGAACAAGTTACTTAACATCTCTTAATCTCATTTTCTACAGTTGTCAAATAGGAGTAACAGTACCTACCTAAAAAGCTGAGAAAAATAACAGGGTCATGCATATGTTTATTATATATTCTGGTACACTGTGTTTGTTAAATGTTGTTTATAAGGCATTGCTCTCCCAACATAAAATTTATATTACTTTCCTATAGCTAATCATAAGTTCCTAGCCCAAAATAATCATCCACATAATTCTTATAATTGTGCTTAATTTATTAGTTTTTGCATTATAATTCTTTATTTTATAAGGTTTAAGATATGTCAACATATGCTATATTTTAAAATATTCATTCTACTATACAAATAGCACATTTTGTCTATTATGTGGTTTGTTTTCATTGATTAGAAACATGTCAGTTGCTGCTTTGTCTCCATTTTTATTCACTGCCTTTTTTGTGAGGAAATGCGTAGGGAGGAATAATATCTGACCTTTTGGCAGGTTGGAAGTTCGATAACAGAAAAGAAATTTTCTGAATAGGAAGTAGGACCTGCTATAATTAAATAAGCATCAATATTATATAGCTTAAAAGCATATTAAATTTGTTAAATGTGTGGGTTTTTTAAGTAAAGAAAATAATTATAAGGATTTGTTTTCCTTCGATGAAAAATGTAGGCGTTTTTCTGGTGCTTTATGTACTCAGCAAAGCAAGTTTCTGATTATGCATTTCAGCTCTTTTTTAGGTCTGCTTTTCTGCCTTTAGTAGCAGCAATTCATTTAAAACCTTTGTCTTTGGATCAGATGGGAGTCAGCTCTTTGTAACTCTGGAGTCCCTATCTGACAAATGAGAATTTAAGATGTCAAATCATAATTCACATTCCAAATATGTAAGAAAAAAAATCACAAAGTTTTAAATACGCCATACTCAGCCCACTCATGCATCTCTAATATATTCTGTAGAAGCATCAGTCATTTCAAATCACCACAAATGAGTTTCACAGGAAATTGCAAATCTAAGCAGAAAGACTGTACCTGCCAGGTTGGCAAGCATCTTCCTGGAAGTAGCAATAGGATTGTTTGTTTCTTTGTCATAAAGTATCCAGCGGAGGGGCACCTGGGGGTTCAGTGATCAAGCATCTTCCTTTGCCTCCAGTCATGACCCAGTCCTGGGATTGAGCCCAGCATCCAGCTCCCTGCTCAGTGGAAAGCCTGCTTCTCCCCCTCCCACTCCCCCTGCTTGTGTTTCCTCTCTCACTCTCTCTCTCTCTCTCTGTCTCTGTCAAATAAATAAATAAAATCTTTAGAAAAAAATAATAAAAATCAAAAAATAAAAAGAGGAAGGAGTACAGCTTACAGTTTCAACCATGGATCAGCTGTGTGTCCTTGCCAGATTGTCCAACCTCTGAATTTGTCCTTTTTTAAAATGAAGATTATAAAACCGAGGTAATACAGCCAAGTAGCTAAGAATATAGGCTGTGAAGTCTGTTGGTTCTGTCATTGTTCAGAAACAACATCTTGCATTGTTGAGAAGATGACCCCAAGAGCCAGTTTGCCTGTGTTGGAATCTTGATAAGGTCATTTATTAGCCATGTGACTTTGGGCAAAACATTTAAAGATTCTGAGCCTCGATTCCTATCTGTAAAATGGGGATGATAATAGACATTGTCTCATAAAGCTATTTTGAAGATTGAATTAATATTTATACAGGGCTTGGAACAGTACCTGCCACATGCTGAACAGTCTTCCCCAAATTTCAGTTTATAACCCTGTAAAGGGTGGTGGTTAAGAATATCCACTGTATTTAGTTGTTTTAAAGATTAAGTAAGGCAACCCCATGTAAAGAGTTTAGCACAGAGCCAGGTTCAGAGTGAATGACTTATAAATATCAGCAATTAGTTGTGTCATTATGAATAATATAAGGTAGTTGGAAATAAAACCATCTAATAAGAAAATTTCATATCAGTCTATATAGGAGGCAATAATTGCTGGGAGTCTTCTATAAATTAAAAATAATTTTATAAATGATAATATAAATCTCCTCAAGGTAGAGTAGTTAACAGTTAAGCTTTTTAACTGTCAGCGAAAGCTATTTACATCACAGAGTCACGTAGTTTGGATTATATGACCCGCCTCATGTACTTTGGACTCTGCCGGCTCCAAGCCCATTTAAGAATTCTTCCTTCAAGATGTCTGACAGACTTTCTAGGAGTTGCTGATTATTTGATAAGATAACAGTAATAATTAACTACTTTATAATGTGGTTGAGTGGGTAGTGCAAATCTGTATGTTATAAGATTTATGTTCATTCTCTCATTTAAACTTTATCATAACCTCATGAGAAAAGAATGTTATCTCCATTCTACAGAGGTGAAGAATCCGAGATTTCAAATCAGAACAGGACTCATCTCTTAAAGTCACAGGACTCATAGGGGTTTGCCTTTGAACCCAACTATACCTAGACCTCTAGTATGCCCTTCTTTGCTCAGTTCTTTCTCTATGTATAGAAATATGAAGTATTGGTACTAGAAAAATTCTGGCTGCCAAGATGTGAATAATAGATTGTAAAATTTCTAATAATTCTTTTATGATGGGAAATGCTTAATTGGTTGGAAGTAATATAAATTTAGAATACATATATTTGTATGTGCTTAAATATACATATTTTTGACATTTAAAGATAATTAAATAACTTCTATAAAATGGGAATATAGATGGCTGATGGTAGTATTTTTCCCTTTTTCTCAGCCCAGTGAGGTCAGGCTAGGTTATTAATTATTTCTTCTGGGACTCTAATATATGCTTCATAATACTCTTTCTTATAAATTGAATGTCAAGAGTTCTATAAATATAATGTTGAGTTCTGGAAGTTGATGGATTTCATATTAGTCCTACTTCCTATATAATGCAAGGATGTTCTATATTAAGGTTTTGTAACTCATTTGTCACTACAATGTGAAAAAAGTCATTTTGAACTTAGTATATCTTTATCCGTTTAATGAGTGGGGATAACTGAAGTCAAAGGTGAAAATTTTAAGAAAGTATATTTTAATTTAATGTCAAAAGTTCCCAATATTTAAACCTATTGGAATGGAATAAGCTACCTTTGTAAGTATTAAGGGGACTACCAGAGATAATTTAAGAAATGATAGAATGACAAGTTGCCATAGTTTAGGTAAAGGAAAAGCACCAAATACTTTTTCATTTCTGTGCTCATCACTCATTCTGCCAATACTATGGAATAAGAGTTATGAAGGTTTTTTTTTTTTTTTCCTCTGCCTTCAGGAAGCTCAGTCTCTGGGAGATAATGGTAGAGTATAATAAAAATAAAAACTCATTGCTCTTATGGAAGTATATGCAAAAAATTGTGTAGAATGGTTTTCCTAAGTCTTGCATGAGGATGGAGTCAGTGAATGTATCCAGAGGAGATAAGACAAGAGACAAGATTTACAGCATGAGTTAGAATTCATCAATGTTGTGGCATCATCCAAATTTGACATTCTATAATTTTACAATCCTAGCCTTATGGAACAAGTAGTAGGCAAATTAAAAAGTACTGGGCAAATGCTAGTAACTGAGCTACTACAGAGACTAGAGGTTGGGATGCATGGCTATTGTGTGGGAGACTAAGGAAGAAAATTTAGAAAGAATCCATATTTTGTTCGGCAGTTCAGTCACTCTGTCCCTGTACATCTCTTTTTCAGCTACTCCTATTGGCTCTTTCCCCCAAACTTACCCTCAACTAGGTATTTCTCTCCATTTCCCCCTCCCTGTCCTGGTCCAGGCTGTCATCACCAGTTCTTACCTAGTTTCCGGCGAGTCTTCCAGCTTCCACTTTTGCTCCATTCAGTAACATCCTTCACACGTCAGGGACTCTCACCTTCTGAAAGTATAAATCATATATATCATTCCAATTCATGAGACAATCTATTGAATATCCCTTATACTTAAAAAAAAAAAGAAACCCAAACACCTTGCCCACCTAACCTGGCCCCTGTCTAGCCCACAAGCCACACTCATACCATTCTCCCTATAGTGCACTGAGCCCCTCCCTTCATCCTGTGTCTCAATAAACTAACCTCTCCTGTTTAGGGGCCATAGTCATGGACAATCTCTCTACCTATAATGACTCTCTTCCAGAACAAAGCAGGGTACTTCTTATCAGCTCTCTGCTTATAGGCTACCTCTTCCCAGAAGCTCTCTCCAGTCATCTGGTTCAAGGAAACATTCAGTATGCCTCTCACCAAATCATATGACAGCATCCTCTCATAATTTTTTTTATTTTTTTAAAAGATTTTATTTATTTATTTATTTGACAGAGATCACAAGTAGGCAGAGAGGCAGGCAGAGAGAGCGCAGGGAAGCAGGCTCCCTGCTGAGCAGAGAGCCCGATGTAGGGCTCAATCCCAGGACCCTGGGACCATGACCCGAGCTGAAGGCAGAGGCTTTAACCCACTGAGCCACCCAGGTGCCCTTCCTCTCATACTTTATTCATGGAGTTTCTCATTATCTGTTATT